TATGTTGTTACTATCCTTCTGCCAAGGCAGTGCAGTAGTCAGGAATCTGTATGCTTTTCCAGGAGATGGAGGGTGCCTCTCTAACCTTTTGCCAGTTACAGTTGTTTTAGCACTGCATTCTTTTGTCCAAGTGATGAGCCACAAAGCCAGCCTGCTTCGTGGGTTTGAGCAAAATCCCAGGGACGCATTTTGACCTTCCATTTGCTGTCTTCTTCATTAGCAGTTTTTGCCCTTTTATTCCCATGAAACATGTCCAAAGGTTTGCGTGCAAACCTGAATCCTGCAAAGAAATTCCTGGGGTTTTGGTCTTATCCAAAGCATAATCTCCCAGGAGCATCTACAGCCCAGCACAGAACTAAGGAGCAAACATGTCTCACCAGCACGTGAGCCATGGAAATGCCTTGCTGAGAAAGCCCCTGATCCCAGAGACACACTGATGGGCAGGACTGCAAACCAGAACCCTAAATGTGCTCTGCAGCTGTGACCTGAGGGATGCTATGAGAGCTATTCCAGGCCCCCTTTGTCTCCATGCACAACCTGCCCTCAGCATATCCCCCTACCCTAGGAGACCACAATTCCCTTTGGATCAGTGGTGCCACTCCAGGCACATTCCTCAGACTGAGGATTATCTCCAGTGAGAGAGGGGAAGGCTTAGCTGGTACCTGGAGGCTCTTAAAGGACATCATTAAAACAGCTTGCAAGCATGAGACTGCTTGAGTGAGAGACAAACACTCCGGGCAGAAACAAAAAGCTGTTAGATGCAAGTTCACTTAGTCTGAGTTGAGTGTTTACTGATCCTGGCAGCACACATTTATATTTTTCATACTCTTTCATATTTCTATGAATAGATCTCAATAAAACAATCAAGTACTATGAAAGTTAAATGGGGATTTAAATTTCATTTTTAAACGTGAATTGTTTATTGTATACACCGACCTCGGGTACATACCTGAAATCGAAATAATATTGTCATTAGTGAGTCAGAGAAAGAATGAAAATGTTTTCAAACACACACACACACACACACACACACACACACACACAGTTTATGACATCTGCCTATGGCACTAACACACAAAGCAAAATTTAAAGGGTGGCCTTATCTTGGTCACTTATAAACTAAATTGAATTTACACTGCTTCTGAGGATGTAAAACTGTGACCTGGAAAATTGGTAGCATGTGTGATTTCAGCACTCTACAGCAAATGACCAAACCTTGAGCATGCCAGTAGGTGGAGGAAAAGCCCTTCCAGGCATATATTTGGGTCACAAGGAACTTCAGAATTAAAATGTTTCAATTATTTTCATATCAGAAGCAATGTGTGTGTAGCTCCACATCAACAAAGTGCTTTCATTCAGATTTTCAAAGGGATATTTTGTCTATTTTAATATTAGCCAATTATTAGAACATTTATTTTAATATTGATAATTAATATTAATATCAATCATTAATAATTAAGTATTGATTGATAACTTTTGGAAATTATATTATTAGTATAATCATTAATTATTATAATTATTACTATCATGGCCATAATTAATAATTATTTTATAATTAATTATTTTATTAATATTTTAATATTACTTTCTCCTTTATGACCCAGTGCACACCCAGGGTTTGACTGGTTTCTTCCCACTGCTGCTGAGCACTGCATGGGGACCTCCACTCACTGTCAGAGTGGCCCAAGGCCACTCTCCTCACAGCAGGGCAGAGGGAGTCTGGTGAGATGCTCAAGTCCCCAAGTTACTGGTGAAAACTTTGAAACTATACAAAGTCTGAAATCTTGAAATAATACCAAGATTCTGCCAGCAGGCTCACATCTAAAACTGATTTTCATTTTCAATTGTGAAGATATTTCTGTTGCCTGTGTTTTTATTTACAGCCTCAGCACAGTGCTCTCTATCACAAAACTAATTTTTACAAGCCTACTCCTTCACAGCAGCCACTTTTTCTCTAACTGAAGACAAAAGTCTTGTTCAAGTTATGTTTGCTAAAGCGCAGGACAACTGACTGTAATGTACTTCAATCTGGAACAAAGAAGACTTTGGAAAAGACCTATTTTCACAAAGAAATAGTCAAGAAACAGGAGGAATCGGTTATGTTCATCTACTTTAACACCTAATCATAAGTTTAGGCTTGTGCAACTTGACAAATTTGTAGCTCAATGAGCAAAGAAGCTCTTTTATATTTTGCTGTCAGTGTTAACATTTCAGAAAAATGGAATCCAAAAGCTACTGAATTAAGATAAATTACATGCTTTTAAATTCTTATTCTGAATTCTTATTCAGAAATTGAATTCAGGATTCTTTGCATGGAATACATTTAAAAGTCTCTTCATCTGAAGCAGGATTTAGGAAATGCAGACTGACTAGCCTGCACTTAAGGGCTGGTTTGAATTTGATACTTAATCACAAAAAAAAATGCACAAATTCTTTTGTGATACTTAACATGAAAGTGAGGATGACTTTATTTAACCTATTTCATCCTCTTGAAATTAGCACAGGATTTCACCAAGCCTTTCCAAGTGACAGGTAAGGTAGGTAAGAGCTGGAAAACAGCAACAATACACTTTGAGTGAGTTCTCTTTCATGCCACACTCAGTTTATTCCCATGTCTGCCACATTTCTAAATTAATTTATGAAGTACAAATATGCTAAGATGAGCTAGATACGTACCAAGAGTACTTTTCTTTCTCATTTAACATAACATACTGCAGAAAGTCTGAGTAAAAGGGTAAGCCCTACTTATCATATGCACTGAGGAGGGTGGAAATCCAACAGCATTTCAGTGCCCTGAACAGACTGTCTGGGGAGTATTGATTCTGCCTGTATCTTCAAAAAAAGGAATGCAAGCAAAGACTCTCCTGGGCCAGCAGTAGCTGCATCAGAGAGGACAAACAGAACATAAACAAAGTCCAGACATGCTGCACACCCTCCCAGCTGTGACCCTAACACAGGAGGGCACACAGGTATAGCTGCACCTCGTGTCCCTTCCTGGGGGTAGTGGCCTGGGGAGCTGCTCACAGCTTCTTCCTAAAGACTTTGGGATGCTGGGAACAGCTGCAGTACCCATTGCCTTATGGAGGGCTGAAAAACCACGTGCCTTGTGGAAAAGTGCTGGTCTATCTCCTTTCCAAGCTACATCTTGTAAGCTTCATTTCACCTGTTTCATATCCTATCATAAATGCAGAGTGGTTAAACATCTGGGGAAGCTGGGTAGGGGTGAGGTGTTTGCCCTGTAAGGCTGCACAGAGTCACCTCACCTGGTCTGGCTCAGGTACCTTTCTCCTTGGGGTACAGCAGAGGTCACAGTGTGCCTATTTTCCATCGTCATGAACCCAGTCCTCACCAAATAGCTCCATGAAGAGACAGGCCTGTTTGGTCAGGCACTAGATTTTCTTACCAGTCTGCTGAATCTGTGAACCATGCATGAAGTACTTACTTTATCCCTTGGACCCAGAGTCCAAACCACAACTGGGTCCTCAAGGCACTAGTGCAGGCAGCCACCTTCAGCTCTAGCCAAAATTTCTAAGGATATGTCTGCAACATCTAAGGCAGCACAGGCAGAAATCTGCAAGTTAGCTCCAAAAATGGAAGCAGAATAGTTTTATTGCCCAAGTTTTGCAATGTGATTTGTACATCTCAGCTGGAGGGGTGTCTATCATTTCTCCCTCTACATTCCAGTGCAACGTGGAGCACAAATTCTGTGCTTGATTCTGAGCTGCCCACGTGAACTTGTCCTCATGTGACTGCTTATGTACTGAATTCAGCAGCTTTCTTTCCCACGTCAAATAGAGAGCACAGAGAGTTTAAAATGATAGCAACAATAATTTAAAAAAAAATCTTGAATGAATTGATTAAACCAGTCCAATTTCACTGTGGATTGTATTACCTACAGGAAATGTAGCAGGTCTGTGACACATGACAATTTGTTTCTAATAGATACTCTTATTATATTCGTGAGGAGAGAAAGTATATTTTCCCTAATTTATCTTTTTTTGTGTTTTCCCATAGCCTTTTCCCAAGGCAAGCTTCTTCAAAATCAGTCCCTGTAGCACCCAGACATCCAGAATTATATTCCACTTCTAAAGCAGGCAAAAACTCTAGAGAAATTCAAACACCTGGAACATGCTTTTCCTTGCAGTACAGCACTGAAAACAAAAACCACTTTATAAAATAGAAATTAAATGTTAAATCTCAGTAAGACTGCATTTTAATCAAGCACAAAAGGCAATATAGCAGATGGAAGTAGTCATGCAATTCTGCCCCGCCTCAAATGTCTCTTTTTAGAGCACATTTGAAGAGTCCTACCAAAAAAAAAAAAAAATTCTTCACATAATTCTCACTATTCCAGAGTCATCTTGCTATCATTTTGTGGTTTTTCCCTATTTTACTGCTGCTTTATTTTTTGTGTTTTGTCAAAGTAATACAAACATGTCTTCTGTTATGCCTACTCCTCATTTACTAAGACTTGAAACTTGCTAGCTCAGTACTAGCAGCAATCCAGCCGTGGCAGAGAGTAGTACAGGCTATAAAGCCAGAGCAGGAGCAGTAAATACCTCGCTGATAGCCTGTGGTAGAGCTCTGTGCTGCTCCACGTAAATCATTACCAGGACTTGAGCGAGTTGAGCTGCAGTGACCGCGGAGCAGCCGTGCGGTTTGTGCTGGCCGGGCTCTCCTTGCCCCGCTCTGCTAATGCAGGTCTCTGCTTTGTTTACACAGCACCACTTGTCCTGTTATTGCTGTTATTGGCATATTGACAGGGACACAGCTTCAGTGCTCCACCATGGGCAGGGCTGGTGCTCTGAAAAATGACTGCTCACCCTGGTCTCTAACCAGCTGCAAGGAAAGGCTTCCATTTCCAGTCATTTTGCTCAGGCATGCAGGCCAGGTAAATTAATTTGAGTATCCTCTTAAAAAATTAAAATATCCTAAATGAAAATTGGAGTAACACTATTATTCATTCAGACACAGTCAAGACCGTGAGCCACGTTGCTTACCTATGGATATGGTCCAAACTGCAGCAATTTTCATAATGGCCTTGGTGCGGGAATTGAAGCGGCTGTGCTCAATGGGATTGCGAATTGCTACGTACCGATCAAGAGAGATGGCACAGAGATGCATAATAGATGCAGTTGAAAAGAGCACATCTAGGGAAATCCATATAGGGCACAACTGTTTAGGCAAAGGCCAAGCATAATCTGAAACATAGAGAGAAAAGAAATGAAAGGAAAAAAAGGAAAGGAAATAATTTGGGAAGCTAGGCCACCATTTCTGAGACACCATTGGGATATTTGAGCTCTGTGACACCATTAAGGGGCACGTGCCTGAGGAATGGATAACAAACCTCTCATGGGACTTCTCTGTGGGCAGTTCCTGGCTCTGGACACTCCATAAACCCACAGCCAGTTCCCGCACATCTGGTTTCTGTGACCAGTAACTAAATGGCAGTGCCTGCATGCGACCATTTTAGCACTGTTCCCCACTCTTAACCTTTCTTCCATATCTTTACAAAATCAAATATTATATTCCTTTACAACTTGCTCATCACATTGTTTTCACAGATTGCAAAGCACTTTGTGGCATTAACTTCACTCAGATCCTTTCTAAAACTCCCTCGACGTGTCCATCTCAGTTTCTGTCTGCTGAGGAGAAAAACAGCAGACAGCTTTTGTGCACAGTCTAACACATAGCTAAATGACACCTCTTCACCTTTTCTCCCTAGGCAGTGTGCCTTGATATCAAAGGAATACTTGCCTCCCTACAGAGCTGCTGGGGAAAAAAAAAATGTTTTGAGGATAGACAGAGTGGGGTGTTATTCTTTACAGAAACGATGTTAGCAAACAGAACAGACTCAATAGCCACATCTGACAGCAGCTGGCACTCGGCTCATTTGGGTGCCTGCACTTATGAAACTGTTTACTCAGTGCTGAAGTACAGCTTGAGAATAAAAGTAACTCAGAAAGATGCTGAAGGGCCACTGATATTTAAATCAAAGCTCAGAGAAAATGGATTTGTGAATGGTACCCCCGCATCAGTGTCCAGAATAGATTGTGTGAGATCAGTAACACATCCTGCCAAGCTCTGGGCTTATCAAAACAAATCAAGAGTATATATAGCAGCTGAAAACATGAGAGACTTCATAATAGTTGAATAATGAGATATTCTTGTGTCTTCATTCAGAATGTGGATATCTAAAGCAATCTTGAAGTTTACCCCAAGGATCAGAATCATCACTCTGCAGAATAATGTTATATTAAGAATGGTGCAGCTCCATCCTACTGTTCTCAAATGGAAAGGATGAAACATTAGTTTCAGAAATCATAGTTTGAAACAAATTACCCAGCCAAGAGAGACCCCGGATATCTTCATGCAGAAACCTGAGATTAACTGAACCAGAGTAAATTATTATTAAATGTCCCAGAGAAGCCCAGGAACCTTTCACAAAGAGCACAGCAGAATGAGATGGACATATTAGTTCATTTTACCAGTGGGAAACAAGAAGATGAAGTGCTAACTACTCACCAAACCCACATGGCCAGACCTCAGCCCTGGGGAGAGATAAGCCACTAATTTCAGGGAGTTTGTACCACATCTATTACATGGACTGTGAGTGGACTGAAATCCTCAGCAGCAAGCATTTAAGAGATCCCTGTCAAAGGGAACCAAGTAAAGCACTTTGTGGCTGGAGCATCTTTACTTTAAGAGACACCTCTGCTGTACAAATGAATAGAACTTGATTAAATATGACTCAGCCCCTTTATAACACTATGATCAAATTTTCTGCCTCCTGCTCACCTTCACACTGCAGTAGCTGAGGACATCATTGCTATCAACCTGCAATTGGGCTCAGGGCTGAGCTAAGCACACCTTGGTGTTTAACGCGCCAGTGAATGCTCTGGGAAAGAACAAGTCAGAAATCCTACAAGTGGTAGCTGTGCCCCCTGTACAGCCCCAGGCTTTCACTGACAACCCACACTAAAACACATTCAGCACACTTTATGCCTCACCATTTCTCCTCTGAGTTGCCAGAGCCAGCTTTGTGCTGCAGGCTGAGATGAACCATGGGCACAAAGACAGCGAGTGTGCCCTGATAGAGGAAGCGGTCCCTGGGAGCTTGTGCAGTGTGATCATGACTGTGCAGCAGCCTCTGCGAGGGGAACAGTGACACTGATGGCTATTCCCCACAACAGGCAGATGGCCAGGAAACCTCCAGTGTCCCCAGGAAAAGACAGGCGGCCTCCAAGCTTCCTGTGCCTGGGAGCCTCTCTGGTCTGGTCCATGGTGCTGCAGCAGGTACAGCCTGATGCCTGACATTTGCTAGACCTGGAAGAGGTTTCTACAGCAACCACCTTTTCAGCATTATTGAATGATGAATAGCCTCTCTTACTTCTTCCTTCAAGCTATCCAAACACTTCAGTGACTGATTCCCCCCAGAACAACTTCTCCTATTGAACTAGCACAGCATCACAACTAAAAACCTACCAGCAGCAAAAGGTGTGAGGAGACATCACCTGCTGCCTGCCTTGGCACTGCAGGAACCACAGATACCAACAGATCCAACCATGCTGCCCAGAACTACTGCCCAGGCAAACTGTCAGGATGTTTTGGAAGATACAAGTGAGATGAGAGTTCTCCTAATGCCAAATCCTGTCAGTCCTTCCTGTCCCAGGGCACACCATTACACTTCTAGCTGAACAGCCTGTTGTGCAAGTAGACATTTTATTTTCTCATGAAGTTTCCTAAAATGATCTGCAATAACAAAATGTCACTCTGGAAATTTGTAGAATGGCAGCTTGTAACACATCACTGTAGCTCAATAGGAAGGGCATAATATATATTCTATCTCAAAACGTAATTATTTTTAAGTAAGCATGGTGCGTGCCTTTGAAAAACACCTACACAGCCTACAAAGCCAGTAATTTGTAAAAAAAGAAAAACAGCTTTATTCTAATTCTGTTTTGAATAAATGTACAAAACATAGGAATTGTGCCCTGTGACTGTGCCAAGACGCAAACAAGGATTAAAAAAAAAAAAATCTGTTAATGGTGTTGTACCTTTAAAACAATTTTATCCTCAGAAACACTCTAATTACAGAGGGTAACATTTCTCTAATTTGTTCTTTTTTCTCTTATTTCATTTACAAAGAATAGCAATTACCCTGTATTTAGAGGAGCAGATGACTGAGTGAAATGAATTCTTGGACCCCAGCACCTCTAAGATGTAGTAATTGCATTTCCAATGGAAAACATTCATCTCAGTCCAAATTTGGCTCCAAGAATGAAACCTGCATAAGCAAAAAACCAAATTTTTGTACCTTGAATTAATCTGAACCCTTAAAATCATATCTTTTATGATGGCAGGTAGATCAGATAGGAGAGTGCTGAAGGAAATTAGATGAGTGCAGCAGATCAAAACAAAAGCTGGTATTTCTTTACCCAGCGTTGTAATCAAATCACAGATGTTTTTTTACCTCCAGATACTTTGTGGGTGGTAGAAGTTTACACTGGCCAAATTCAAGGAGAAAAGTGTATAGAAGACTATTGCAGTGATATTTGAGATCAGTGTTAGCTTCTGGCTCTGGTCAGAATAAAACCAGCATGTAAAAAATCCTTGCAGGAAGGAAACTTCTGCAGAATATTACTTCAGCCTCTAGGACTGAATGGCATCTCACGGCATCTGTGGGTGATGTGGTTCCTCACAGGACACATGGGACAAACACTCATATTTAACCAGGAGTCATGGTCCCCAGGTGGGATTTCATCTCTTGCCCCAGGATGAAAAAGCAAACCACAGTTCCTGTGTGTCACTGAACAGCTGAAATGAGCACAATCTGTTGGCAGAAAAATAAACTCAAAGGCATTTTGGCAAATTCACAGACCATCTCCGTGTGTAGTTAATTTGCTATCAGATAAGAGTTCCTTACATTTTTTGTGTTTTCCATCAAGAAAGATGGCAGCTATGAAACTGAGTCACTTTTGTCAGATTCTTTATGCATATGGGTAAAAAATGTTGCTTAGCACTGTTATGGGCATTGTACTGTTAAGTGCATGAGAGTCAGAATTACCTGCTACTGTAGAAGGAAGTGACTGAATAATCCAAAACATAGCAAATGGAAGCAAAATTAAGTATGTCAAAGGGTAAAATAAAATTACTCCAGATTGTAGGAGAATAATTGTGCAGAAAAAAAAAAATTAAAAAAATGTCTGTTTCTTGTACATATTCAGTACTTCTACAATGCAATCTGCTCCAGGATATCTCCTGGGAAACTCTAGTATAACACCTAGGACAAATCTGGAATAACAGCAAAAAAATACCTGCTTACACAACAATAAAGTGAAGAATTATGTAAAATTCATCTCTGTATCTTCAAGAGTTTTCCGTGAGAAAGTCACAGCAATTGGCATCAATCATTTCTTTTCCAGCCATGAACAGGAATCTGGAAAAGGTTTCATCACACATTTGTTGTGTTTAGCCAGTGCCTTGTATGTATTAAGATGGATAAAAGTTGATAAAAACCATCCTTCAAAATGACAGGAAGAAAAAAGGTATCTTTCATCTCATTATGACATTTGACATATATATACATATGTGCACACTATATATATTATTTATATAAAAGAAACAGAGCTAACAGGTGCAAAATAAGTACTAAAGATGCCTATGTGTTCAAAAGCCTCTTTTAAAATTGATCATTGGGTTGGCTAAAAACTTAAATACATGTAGTATTTCTCATTTTAGGCTTCTGATATTTACTGTATTTGCAATTCACTTTTAACTACTTTAATGAATTGAATGTAAATAAAAGGTAGGAATTTGAATAAATTCCAGTACAAAGCACAATTTCCCAGCAGTTAAAATGGCAACACCGTGTGTGCTTGAAGCAGCTTTTGATCATCCTGGGGATACGTTTCAGGCCACGCCCTGACCCACTGCCCTGTGTAATGCTCTGACTCATGAAAAGGTCAGCAGCAAAGATCCAGGAGATGCATGTAGCCGTGGAAGGGGTTTTAACCCTTTAATTGCGGCAGAAATAAGATGCACAGCTACATGGTAATCTTTCATGACAGGAAGAAAGAGCCAAGTTTATTCAGAAACACACTTGGTTTTATAGCATCACTCGCAATTCCAAGAGTAGAGAAAAGGTGATTGGTTCAGAGAGAAGACACCCCATTCCCAGGGCCTGGTCACACACCACAAC